CACTGACTGGTGTCTCTCAGTCCCCTCTCCCTCTCTTTCAGGGAGATATCTGTACACTGACTGGTGTCCCTCAGTCCCCTCTCTCTCAGGGAGATATCTGTACACTGACTGGTGTCTCTCAGTCCTCTCTCTCTCAGGGAGATATCTGTAGGACCGATGTCTCTCAGTCACCCTGCTCTCTCCCTTTCAGGGAGGTATCTGTTCACTGACTGGTGCCTCTCTCTCTCTCAGGAAGATTTGTGTCTGTCAGGACTTTATCGAATTTATTCAATGTCTGATCGACCTATTAAATGGCTCGGTCTCAGAGTTGTATCTTTTGCACATCTTTTAACATGATGAAGGACTGAAAAAAGCCCCTGGTGAAACGAGACCAGGGAGAAGTTTAAACTGTACTTTCTTAAGCTTCTGTAGAGCAGTGATTTAATAATCAGATTTACTCGGCCTGTTCGATAACAACTCATCATAATAAAGGCGTTACCTGTCAGTGACTTGTCTTATTTAATTTAGCATAACTCCTCTGTGTTCACTGTTTACTGTTACTGAGCATCGGTGGGGGGAGGGAGTGGGATGTTTGTGGATGTGGTGCCAATCAAGCGGGGGCTGCTTTGTCCTGGATGGTGTTGAGCTTCTTGAGTGCTGTTGGAGCTGTCCCCATCCAGGGCAAGTGGGGAGTATTCCCTCACACTCCTGACTTGTGACTTGTCGATAGTGGACAGGCTCTGGGGAGTCAGTTGCTAAGGAAAGATGGGTGATTTTTTTTTTCTTGAGTGGGCTGCTGTCGGAAGGTTTGAAGGGGACAGGTACAATATTTGATGAGACCGAGGCTGGGATGGGAAATTGAGGGGCAACAGTTTCGTGGGATTAGAGGTGAGAGGACAGGCAATGACCATCAGAGAGGCCAATGGGACGATACTAGAGAACATTGTGCATTCAAGGGTAGGAGGGAGAGTTCTAGGCTATGTTGGATTAAGGGATGGGAGGGATGTACCAAAGGCAAGCAATTCAGTCGAGATAAAAACCGGGAGAACTGCGGATGCTGTAAATCAGGAACAAAAACAGAAGTTGCTGGTAAATCTCAGCAGATCTGGCAGCATCTGTGAAGAGAAAATCAGAGTTAACGTTTCAGGGCTGGTGACCCTTCCTCAGTTCTGAGAAAGGGTCATCGGACCTGAAACGTTAACTCTGATTTTCTCTTCACAGATGCTGCCAGATCTGCTGAGATTTACCAGCAACTTCTGTTTTTGTTCCTGATTCCGTCAACGATATGGGCGACAATACATATATAAACCATGTGGATGAGAATGTTGGAGGGGATGATAAGTAATTTTGGGGATGACGCAAAGATTGTCCAGGCGAGGAGGAAAGCGTTAGGTTACAGGAGGATATAACCGGGCGTTGGTCAGATAGACAGATCAATGGCAGATAGAATTTAACCCTGGTAAACATGAGATGATGCACTTTGGAAGAAGAAACAAGACAAGGGACTGCACAAATAATAGGAACCCTCAGAGGAACGGTGGTTGGCACGGTGGCTCAGAGGTTAGCACTGCTGCCTCACAGTGCCAGGTTCGATCCCAGCCTTGGGCGACTGTGTGTGGACCCCCCCCCACCCCGTTTCCTCCGGGTTCTCCGGTTTCCTCCTACAGTCCAAGGATGTGCAGGTTAGGGTGGATTTGCCGTGGGAAATGCAAGGATAGGGTAGGGGGCTGGATCATGGTGAGACCTTCTCTGGAGGGTCGATTGTGAATTGATGGGCTGAAGGGCCTGCTACCACGCTGTTGGGATTCTATGAACAGAGGGAACTGGTCCATAGATCCCTGAAGATGGCAGGGTGGGTTAATAGGGTGGTTAAGAAGGCATACGGGACACTTACCTTTATCAGTCTTGGCACAGATTATAAGGGAGGGGAGGTCATGTTGGAGCTGTGTAGGACGCTGGTGAGGTCCCAGCTTGAGTACAGTACAGTGCGCAGTTCTGCTCCCCACACTATAGGAAGGAGGTGATTGTGATGGAGGGAGTGCAGAGGAGATTTCACCAGGATGTTCCCCTGGGATGGAGCATTTCAGCGATGGAGAGAGGCTATATAAGCTCGGGTTGTTTTCTTTGGAGCTGAGGAGGGGACCTGATAGAGACGTGTAAGATTCTGAGGGGCGTGGATACGAAGGAACTGTTCTCCTTAGTTGAAGGCTCAATAACAAGGGGGCAAAATGCCAAAGTGAAAGGCAGAAGTGGGGCTTGAGGAGACAGTTTCTCACCCAGAGGCTGGTGGGAGTCTGGAGTGCATTGCCTGAGAGGGTAGTTGAGATGGGAAACTTCACGACCTTTAAAAAGTACTTGGATGAGCGCTATGAAGGGTCTTAACATTCAAGGCTATGGGCCTAGTGTGGGAAAGTGGGGCTAGTACAAATAGGTGAGACAACAAGGTGCAGGGCTGGATGAACACAGCAGGCCAAGCAGCATCATAGGAGCAGAAAGGCTGACGTTTCGGGCCTAG